AGTTATTATAAATGATTAATTAATTAAATAATAATATAATATGATTATTAAAAGAGGCACTGTGTTCTCCATGAGAATAAAAAATATGCTACACTTATATTCATTTCTTAAGACCAAAATTATTGATTAAAWATAGTAACTTTTAAAAACTATTCATTTTACATTTATGGCATTATTTTATAAATAATGATCACTGTTATTACAGAAAAAGTTAAGTTATAAGTAAATATAAATTCATCACCAATAAAAATATTTTAATTGGTAAATAAAGCTATTTGTAAAAGATCTCAAGCAAACCAAAAAATTTAAAAAGTATATAAACTTAAATTTGATCGCAATTAATATATGCCTTAATACAAAAATATTTAACTTCTATTCCTTTTAAAAATATTAACTTATCCAAGTATAACATATGAATATAATAATTTTCTAACAAAATATAATATCAATATGTTTCCTTATAATTTAAATTWAAAAAAAAAAAATGTTAGTTATTAAGTATGATTAATTAATCACATAATAATATATAAAGAAAGGCACTTTGTTTTCCATGAAAATAAATTATTATTATTTATAATATATGATACACTAATAATTTATTTACCTCCAGCTTAAAATTATTCATTAAAAATAATAGCCTTTACAATTCTTCACTTCACAATTACATTTAATGCCACTCTTTTTCAAAGAATCTATACTCCTATTGATAAAGTAATCAATAGTAAGTGGCTCGCCAGCATAAATTTTTCTATTAGAAAATAATGCCAAATGTGGAAAATATCTATCCATGTCACTAATCCACACATAATATATGCTCAAGTTTGCCTCACACGAATGATTTATGAATCTTGTGAAATTACCATAATTTGTACTATCAACAATGCATTYAAAATTATTTGTATCATTGAAATCTAATTTCCATGTGAAATCAATAGAAGTCAGAGAATTTTGTAAACGCCTGTTATATTCTTTAACTGTAATAATTTCACCAACATAAATGCCTACAAAATGACCCATTTCAATATTTTGACAAGTCTTTAATGCCCAACCCGGGAACCTAGATTTATAAATACAAACATTCACATTGCTACCATTTTGAACTACTCTATTAAAACAGTTTGTCATACATTTACAAAGCTCATGACATTCAAATACTGGACAATCAGGTGATACTAATATATTCTTATTTAAATCATAAGCATTAATAACTCTACCAGATAATTTGTTGCAACAATCAGAAGAAAATAGACAGTCTCTTTTACAAATACAACCCGATGGAGAATTGTTWGGGATGATAATTTTGGCATCAGGATGGTAATCAGGTATGTATACAAATGTATCTGGTGGTCCTTCAAGGTCCATATTATTTTCTACTTTAACAAATTGATGATTTGGTGAAACTACATTTATATCTATCTCCCACTGTTTGAGATCACGAAACTGTGTTTGTCTAAAAAAATCCAAGGACATTAATGACAAATTTGATCTTAAGCACTTTTTTCGTAGTATTTGAGCAAATTCAGGACCATTTCCAAGAGTATTGAATGAGCCAGAAATATCATCAAGTAAAACGAATGGCAGTGACAATCCAGTTGAAGTTCTGAATAATTCAAATAATTGTGTGATAATTTGTCTAGTTAACATTAGATGCATTATATTTATTGGTTTATTATGAATTTTTTTTTTTCTTTGAAATTCAAATATGTGTTCTTGTGCCTTATATAAAGCTCCAAAACGTTCCCATGTATTAAATCCTAGTGACCAATTTTTCCATTTGACTAAATAAAATGATTTATCTTTGATATATCTACCATCAACAATTTCAACAATTTCATTTTTATCATACATCACAATAKTATCATCAAAAGTTGAAGGTTCATGTATAAAACTTTTTACTCCTTGGTGTGAATTCATAAAAGAATATAGCTTTGCCTGTTCTGCATTCAACGTTGAAAATATAGGGTCAATTGGTGAATTATCTTGATAATTATTTGAAGATGCATCCTTATTCTTAGAATCACTGTCATCACTTAATAAAACAGTATCATTATTGTCATTATCATTGTCACCATTATTGTTACCATTATTGTCACCATCATTATTTTCATTATCATTGTCACCATTATTGTTACCATTATTGTCACCATTATTGTCAACATCATTGTCACCATCATTGTCATCAATATCTACCCAATCGCTGTCATTGTCATCAGTTATTACAGAAGTATCATTATGGTCATCATTTTCCAATTGTTTGCCATCATTTAATAAGGGAGTATCATGATTTTCATCAATTGAAAGGGGAGAATCATTATTGTGATTAATATTTTCCAAAGAGGTACAAAGAATTGATGAAAGATCATCATTAACGTCATTATCATTGACGTCATTATCATTGTCATCAATATCTTCCCAATCACTATCATTGTCATCAATATCTTCCCAATCGCTATCATTGTCATCAATATCTTCCCAATCACTATCATTGTCATCAATATCTTCCCAATCACTATCATTGTCATCACTTAATACTGCAGTATCATTATGGTCTAGACATTCATCATCACAACTGAAATTTTTGATCTTGGATGAATTAATATCACACTCYGATTTTTGGTTATCTGAACAAATTATATTAGTCTTTACCGCCATTGATTTACTATATGAACTATTTTGGATATTATCATTGGTGGAGTCTGTAACAAAGTAAATATAAAAAAAAAATTGTCACTATTTATTTTAAAAACAATCCAGAATGATAAGCAACAAACTATTATAAGTTATAAAATCAAAAACCTTATTATCATTATGTATATAATCTATAAATTATGCTAACATTTTAATTTAGTAACTTATTGAGTTTTTCTAACATTTTTCATAGTTATTTAACCTTTAACCAAAATGAAATGCATAAAAATATAATATTGATAAATAACAATAAATAAATAGGTGATTAGTATTTCATAAACAGTAAGCTTAAGATAAAAATGTGTCATTTTATATTAAGTAACAATAGCACCTTGGTCTCTAAACTGAATATTTACATAATTATGTTAAATGGTTACCGMACTAAAATGACACATGCGCATCATATGATTTTAGTTGTGCTATTTCATAAACGTACCAATGGATAGGAAGCAATAAGAATACTAAAAATAGATTTGCATTTTTCATCAAGTCAACATAAATTTGATTTCCCCATATTTTTGATTTATGATTTTAACTTCTCCAAAAATTTAAAAGCGACACATTTTTAATTACTATTTTTAACATATACTTTTAGGAATTTGGGAGGCAAAATCAAAAAAGTGGAAAAGTCAATTTTAAGTAGCCTTTATAAAAAATTACAATCTGTTTTTAAAATGCTTATCACTAAATTAGATGAATTGGTATGTTTGGCAAAGAACACATCTAAAATCTCATGTCGCGAGTGCATTAAACTAGTTTAAACAATAACAATATTGAATTCCCTTAAATGAATAGTATGCTATCTAAAATACATTTTCCATTTACAGAACTATACTTAAGAAGGAAAAAAATAAATAGATCAATACTTCAAGTATATATTCAAGATTAATTGTTGAAACATAATTATTTTACTGTTATTAATATACCCAAATCATTAAAAGGTATTTATTTTATTTACTGTAAAAATAATTATTTATTTATTTATAGTTACTATGTTAAACATTGTCCAAAAACCTTTGTGTTTTTTAAGGCTCAGGTTTTATATAAATTAATAAAAAACATAGATAAAAAAAATAAAAATAATAGATTAGTTTATAAATTTTAGTGTTTCCTATGTATACATCAAGGATGCCAAATATACAATTTTATAAAACATATTTTAAGAATTTTAGGTCTTGAATGCTATCRCTATTTGTCAAAAATTGTACCATCTTCGCTAATTTAAAATTAAAATCAGATTTATATATTATTTTTTTCAAAAATTTTTGTTTAACAAAGAAAGTTATGTAGCAGAAAAAATAACAATATTTTAAAATCCATAAAAATTAAAAATGTTCCAAATATGCAAAAATATGCAAAATTAAATTTTGCATACCAACACATTAGGTTAAGATTCAAATTTGGACCTTACCTAGCAACTTTTTAATTTAATAAATAAAAATATGCAAATGGATATAATTCTGGGCCCTATTGATAATAAATATTTATACTTATTAAAACTTCTCTCTACGCCCACCAAAGTAATTGGAACAAATTTTAAATTTTTAAAAATTACTGAAAAATTTCAAAAAATGACCTACAATGTAAAAAAAAGCCAAAAAATCCAAAACAACACAAAAGTTAGTTGTCTAAATTTGCATACTATTAAAACAATTTGAAAAAAATGCATCAAGTTCTCTGAGCCCTAATTTTAACATTATTATTACAACAAAACGGTACCTAAACCTTAAAAATTCCAAGGAATATAAAAGTAAAATAGTGGGTAACGTCCTGCTGTATGTTATGTTTCATTTAGGTCACTGTAATGGAAGTGTTAAATTTGAATTCAATGATACGACATTGTAAATAAAAAATAATAAAAATTGAACATTTATCAAGTTGATTAAATTTAAACCTCTAGGCTTTTTGTTAAAATATTTTRAAAATTATGTATGTATGATCATACAGCCGACTCTCGATAATTCAAACCGTCAATAATTCAAAACCTTCAGTAATTTGAAGTAAATGCTTGGTCTCTTGAAAATCACGCTGTAATTCGAAAAACAATACATTTAAGCACACTCAGTAATTCAAAATTCAAGTTTGAGAAAACTTTACACTAACAAATTACTCTCAGTAATTAGAATTTCTTTTTTGCTCTCTTGTTACTTTGGACTACTCAACAATTCAAACTCTCGGTAATTCAAAATTTTTCAACAGTCCCGCCAATTTGAATTATCAAAAGTCGACTGTATATACAATTAGTGAATATTTATAATATCTATGGTTATTAGTTTATGAGTTATGTCAAAAAAACAAAATTGATTTTGTCAAAAACTTCTTTAGTGTAATAATTTCTCTTTTTTCATCTTAATGTTATGGGACCACTTGGTTATGGTAAAACCAATTATATAATATATAAAAAAATACAATATGTTTGAATAATAAAAATAAAATTATTTTTACTATTTTTAAGTACAACAGAAAAAACAACTTATAATATTCTAGATTAGCAACTTTTATAATTGAAAATACTCATGGTTTTATAGATGCGCCTTTAGAATTTTCACAAATCCCTGTGATTGCAAAAATTAAGTAAAAATTATCAAAATAAATATTTTAATAAAAGCAATTATTAACATATTTTAGGTGTACTATATAGGATTAAAGCAATTAAGGTCAAGGGCTAAAATGCTATCATTTGAGCCTTAATACAATTTCAAAAATATAAATAATATAAAAATTACAATTATCTTAAGTGAATGTCAGCACACCATTGTTTGTTTTCTATCTCTGATCCAAGTGCAACATGGTAAATTTATATTTAGTAGAACCAGCCCAGAGTTGTTACTTTTAAGAGGACGCTACACTCGTATTTACTGTCTCCGTCTTACAAGTGTGTAACATAGCAAATTTGTGCTTAGCAGATCACAATTAATACCGTTAGTTTAAAAATTTGAGTAAATTGACCTATTATGAAATTTGATGGTAAGAAAATTATTTGTGTTTGTATAAGGGTTTTTTTATGATAATTTAATTTTTAAGTGAGTTATGAGCATTTTTAATTTATGCTTTAATTTATATAAGTATAACTTACTACAAAATTGAACTGTCGTAAAAAGCCCACATAGAAACACAGATAATAATCTTAACATCAAGTTTCATAATAGGTCAATTCACTCTAATTTTTTAACTAACAAAGCTAAAAGTGATCTGCTGAATGTAAACTGAAAAGTTATGAACTTGTATGACAGAGACAACAAATGGTGTTGTAGCATCTTCTTAATATTAAAACGAATTCATCTGTTATCAATATGTAAGCTAAAATAACCTATGTCCCTGGTAACCCTGTGTAACCTATGTTGGCAYTTTACGATATTTTAATTTTAATACAATTAATAAGCATTTTTAATTGTAATAATTTACACCTTCATAACTTACATAAAAACTATGATATCATTAAATGCCAATATAAGAACACAAGTTATGTTTTAACTTAGTTTGATAATAGGTGAATTCACTCTAATATTAAAAATAATAAGATAGAGTTGATTTTGGCAAATATAATTTTATAGGACAGAGAGATAATAAGAAAATGATTTTAATAATAGACTAAAATGTATTAAATTTCCAGTAAAAATTAACATAACTAAAATAAAATAAAATAATAAAAGATATATCAATAAATGTTTATAGTTTGGAAAATTGACAGACACACTACAAATTACTGAAATTGAAAAACATGATTATATTTTTTTTTGTATCTAAAAATGGTTGATACATAACAATACTATTTGTATGAAACCAAAATAATTAATTTCTTCTGAAAATTTCATTCTTCTGGTGTATGAAAAATTTTCATAAAATGTAAAATTGCTAGTATTGGAAGAATTATATTGAATAAAAAATACTTTAATTTTTCTAACTCACATTCTATTGATGTCGAAATTAGTCACATAGTCTTGAATATTTATTATTTACATTAATTTGTTAAAAATGTGTTAAMATTAAAATGAGACACTATGAAAAAGAAATTTAATAAGCCTGAAGTTTACAAAAATTCTTCTCTTTGACATAAACTCAAAGTTYATTTTGTTTAAAAATGTAAAATGAATAAAACATTAAATAATTTAAATTTAAATTTATTATTAATTATTATTTTTTATCTAACTAATTATATTTAATAAAGAATATAACATTTTATAATTTTTTAACATGGTTTAGATAGTGCATAAACAAAGTTATAATTAATCCATAATATTAAAATGTTTACACATAATAAGAAGTCATATAATTAAATTCAAAAAAATACCAACTGTCATATACTTTATTGTATTTTACTTGATTTTAATAAATAAAGATTAAAATAAGACAAATAGTTATATAACAAATGTTATAAAATTTCAAAATTGAAAAATAAATATATTTTTTTTTTATCATAGGATTTTTTTTTTTTAAGTTGAGCAACTACACAGAAGGTATCCTGTGGGGCATTGTTTTTTCTTTTAAATTTCAAGTACTTCAACAATTTTTTTAAATACAACAAAATAATTTTAAAATTGTAAATTATTAATTAACTAATTTTGTACAAATTTAAATAATATCTTACTATGAATAACTTAGATTTCAACTATACAACCAAAAATAAGAGTCAGTCAAGAATCACCTAAGTGTCCCATGTTTGTTATTAGTTATCACCTAAGTGATTTACGGTGCCCCGTTAAGAGTCGCACTACAGCATATATATCAGAGGTACTCAAACTGTGCGCCGCGGCTCCCAGGGGCGTCGCGAGACTTTGCAAAGGGAGCCGTGTCAAAGCACCAAAAACCAACATCATACATACATCTCGTATAATTATTATAAATATTATTTGCAATCATTATGGAACTAAAAACGACACCTTAGTACCTTACTATCCGACCATTTGAAGTTTTATTTCTAGTGCTAAAGCCACTGTTATTATCACCCATATAACATATTTCCCATATTGTAGTCGTGTGTTGTTTCAATTTTTTCATAATAATTTGGGAGCCGTAAAAATATTGTGAACACCCAAAGGGGCCGCGTGCYGAAAAAGTTTGAATACCTCTGATATATATTATATTTTATATTTTATTATATATTATAATATTATGTTATTAAAAATAACATGGCATAAAATGTTTCCGTGAAGTTTTGGAATTTCTAGGTAAGTTTTGGTTTTTTAATGAATGTTCTTTATTATGTAACAGGAACAATATTATACACAGTACATAGTAATTAAATATTTTACCAATTTAGGTGTGATACCAAACAAATTTTGAAATTGAAAATTAAAGAATACCATATTGCAGAGGTTTTTAAATTTTTTAAATCTGAGTACCACCTACAATTTGAAAACGTTCAACTATAAAATTAGGACAAATAAACATTTATAGCATAAAAATAAAATGAAATATTTAGCCATATAGCAGTTAAATTATTGTACATGTATAGGTAGTGCAATTATTATTCATATGAAATAATAAATAAACCAAATAATATTTAGTGTGAATAATACGTTCCATTTTTATTATAAATTTTCTTGGCGTACCAACCACGTGTTAAAAACCACTAAAAAAAAATTTCCCATCACCAACCCCTGTCGATAATTACATAGATAATAAAGAAATGGATGGGCCATCCCTATACCTTATACCTATGATGCCAATATTCAGTAACCTGTGCTACATTTTGTAACCATATTGGTAACTTAAGTTCTCTTCCGTCACAGATGAGAACAATAGCATGGCCCATCCATTTCTTTATTATCTATGGATAATTCACTAATTTATATACAGAATTATCAGATGAGATCAGTGGTATGGCGAAGGATATTTTACACTAAGAACAGTAAGAACACCATGAACAATATAAATATATATAATTATGAATTACCTAGTATTTTAACACGTTGATGGAAACTTTATGCCATAGCATTCCATGTGGTTTGGTCAAGTACAATTTATTAAGGCACTTAATATAGGTATTATCATTCAAATGGATATTGAAAGTCATTAAAATTCCTAAAACTGCTACCTACCTAGTCCTAAAATATAAGTTAATTTAAGTCTGATGGTAAATAATATTATAATTTACCCATGACATTTGTAATTATTACACTACAGTATAATATTTTACAATTCTTGCTTACAACTTTTATTTATAATTGGTTTATTATAAGAAATTAAAATTTACTTTTTTGAGCAGAAGAGTGTAGTAAAATTAAGGAGGGGAGGGAGGAGGGGTATTATAATCTGTGGAACGTGGGTGGGTACCAAAAAAATGTATACGCCCCTACATAAAAATCTTGTTGCCACGCCACTGAGTGCGATATACAGTAGAAGCGACTTAATAAGATCACTAATAATTTAAAGTTTATACAAAATATTATCTCGGAACTACCATGCTGTACATTAATAATAATAATACTAATGTAATATCAATTAACTTACAAAATAATAAACATAAATATAAAAACTTGTTATACATTACCATTGTTGGTTGTATTTGTAGCAATAGGACTAATTACATCAGATGAACATATTACATTAGAAATATTCTGGAAAGAAAAAAGTAAACTATTAACAATGCATTAACCATTACAAACAAAAGTGGACATTTACCAAATTCATAAAATCTTGCTCTTCAAGTGTTGTAGACGGCGGATTGTCAGACATGGTGGTCGTAGGTAATACCACTAGGCACAGCGTAAAACAAAAGTATAAGCGCTGCAACTACACTTATTCACGGCTGGCGTAAATAACTAGATTTCTGAAAATAAAGATTTCAAGTACAATAAAAATTATTGACAATTCGAGAAAAGCACATGAAAAACTGTAATTTATAACGAACGTTTATAGCACAATATGGACGACGTGGGACGATCGGCATTAATAATTAATATTCACTATCGAAGTATTGAATCGTGAGTACTAAGTAAGTGAGTAGACAGTAGATGGAAAAAACTGAATGAAGCAAGAACAAAGAATCACGGCTAGAGGTTAGAAATATTCAAATATACAATGGCTGCCAACAGCGATCTTCYGTGTTGCCAGTTAGTAAGTTCGTCACTATCATCAGTCCGTTACACCATGTTACACACAACGATGTAAATTATATATTATCGTGTATGATACACAACCAATGAAAAACGGCGAATAATGTTCTTATCAAAAACATCGAAATTACCATCGATGTTAGCAAAACATGTTGTGTAGTATAGGTAGTATATACAGTATAGATAGTATATCGTCCGTTACTTTTTCAAATCCCGCCTTTTTAAAAAAAAAAATAAATAATTTCGTGTACCCAGTGGCGTATACTAGGGGGGTGTTTGGTGGATATGACAACCCCCCTTGAGCCGTATCATATATTAAATTATTATTACATATATATTACAATATACATTATTATATATAATAAAATAGGAACATAGGTAAATTGTAAATACAATATGAAATATAAAATAATGCACAATACTAATTACATCTAATATACAGGTTAACAATATCGCGATTGCGGAGATTAAAATATTTTAAAATTAGTGTATTCCTTCCATTTCTGGACAATTTAGTGCAACAATTAAATGACCGATTTATAAACCACAAAACTATTATATAGCTGTCTTTTATTTTCTCATTTCTAATAAAAATTATAATCAACAAGCTATCAAAGATTTAAATGAGTTTTATTCTAATAATATTGATCAAGAAGTTATTGAAACAGAGGTAAAGTTATAGCATACACATTTGGAAAAACTAAGCATAAAAAGTGTTCTTGACGCTCTTGATAAGTACAATAAAGACCTATTTCCAAATGTTTTTAAACTCCTTCAAATATTTGCAATATTGCCTGTCACATCATGTGAACCTGAAAGAAGTTTTTCTACATTAAAACGAATAAAAACATATCTTATAAATTCTATTGGCCAGTTAAGACTTAATGGATTAGCATCTTTAAATATTCATCGTGAAGTCGAAGTAATACAAAAATTGTCATTCAATCAAAAACGACGAACGGATTTTATTTTATAATATATAAATATATTATTTTTTTTCATTATTATATAATGACCATACCATTCAGACATTATGTATAGGTACATATTAATTAATTAAAATAAAAGTTTTAGTTTGTACGTATTATATATAATATTTAAAATTTATAATTAACACCCCTTTCAGAAAATCCTAGCTACGCCACTGCGTGTACCTTATCCTAAATTATGATTTATGATAATTGTAAAAATAATTACTTACATTGTAACCATATCATTAACCATTTTATCTTTTAATAAATTAATAAATTCTGATATTGCCCATTGGTAACTGAAAACAACAAGAAATCGGTTGTATACTAAATAAAACCTCTTGTCCTTTTTAAGTACAATAGGTATGCATAGGTAGGTAGGTACTCRTGTAGTATGATACTTATGCTACTTACCAGAAAATATAAGATACCTACATGACATACTTATTCTTATACATTATGTTATAGGTATTTTTATTTCATTTTTTATTGTTAAGTATCTGTGACTATTGATTTATTAAAATATACAATATAATATTAAAATGGTAATACAATAGATATTAGATACTATTACTTATAATAGCTATTTATTTTCTATTATAGGTATGTCTATGCTATTTAGCCATCGTGATAACTTATAAAATATTTCCACTAAGATCAACTTAAAGGCCCTATATTATTTTGGTGTCCCTTGTAATAATAATKTACTTATTATCACTTTAAATTACGATCATAATTTAAAGATTCTCCAATKCATGTAAAAATATAAGAAAATGTATTTGAAAATGATAGCAAAGCACTAACAAGAGTTGACTCAAGATCAACTTTTMAAAAATAAAAGTTAAATATTTAAATATTCCCATTAAAATATAATACAATATAATACATTATAATACCTATACAATTTTATGATTGTTTAATATTAGGTTTTCACTGTTTTCAGCAAGTCAATGGCAGACAGCATACTGTTTTTATAAGTAAACAATTTTCTGGATTTAACCATAATAACGAAACCATTTAACTGTATTTATTAATAATGTGTCTAATGCCCTTAATTAATAATTTCACACGGAAGAGATAAGAAAAAATAGTAAAGATTTCCAGATTTTACAAAACAGTTGTTTAAATGTTTTGTTTAATGCTTATATTTTATAGTAGAATAAAGAAATATTTAAATATTTTTGTTATTTTGTACCAATGTTAAATATAAATTATGTATTAGTACAAGTACATATTAATGGACAAAATATGATATATATTTTATGTGTTAGCCTCCATTTAGAATCGTTTTTCGAAAGGAATGATTTATCAAGGAATTAAAATTTAATACACCCTTTAAGGTGACCTTTTTTTCCTGATTAACCAACGATTTATTATCTTCCACTGCCATCTTTATTGATGTATACAAATTGGACTAAAATAGTTGAATATTTATAATGTAGGTATACAAAATACACATAATACATCAGACAATTATAGTTTGTGCTATATAATTTTACAAAAATTTCATAAATAATATAAATATAGTTTGCCGGTCTAGTCCAGTTTTTTAATCCTATTCTCGGTCCGATATTAAAATCACCTAACCAATGGCGATGGCACATTGTACCATCTATACGCACTGCGCAGTTGCGTAAATAACAGGAGAGCAAGGTGGGCAAACCCTCAACTGTTGAACGTCCTATGTCCCATTGCTTAATCAAAAATAATATACCCTATTTTTATATAAGATAACAAATTGGCCATTTATTAGGTAAGCGTATATTATATTATGGCTGTAGGTTAGCTCATGAGCGCAAAATATCACCTAAACTCAACCAAAAAGCTCAAAATACCTTTTTAAAAAACTATAAGTACAAATTAATTTTACAAATACATTAAAATAATAATAAAATTATTAATACTAAGCTTTTAGTGATTGTAAAATGAGTTAAAAAATTTGAAATTAAAATGACATATTTGTAGTRATTAATATTAATTGGTATAATATTGTAATGAGTACCTTAAAATTAAATTTGAAATTTGAAGCCCRCAGTTTTTAAGTAGTCCAGTATCTGTAAATATTTTTATGTTTTTTTTTTTATATTTCTATGCTTATATTATATTACAGTTGACTTGTATTCAGTGTTGATGTATTTTTTAATTATGAAAATACTTTATATTTAATTATAGTTAATAATTTAATTGAATACTTCATAATTTTAAAATGAAACTTATAGTATAACGAGTACATTATTGTATCAAGTATTACTGTTTATTTTTACGCTTTTATCCTACTACTAAGATCCAAAAGTGCAAAACGAATTTGTGCTTTTGGTCCATCGTAAAAAATAAACAATTTGTGCTTTTGGGTTTCATTTTCATCGTATATTATTACTTATTAGTAGCTACAACTAACTGTTCGTTGATAATAATTAAAATTGAATACAATCATAGGTGCTAACTTACAAAAATTAAATGTTCTATTATCTCAGATCTTGAATTGACATTAAAATGTTAGGTACCTACCTATCAAAGTAGTTAGTAGGTATTCTTTAAAATTTATCACGTATATGCAGTGGCGTAGCCAGGGGAGCACATAGGCCATCCCACCCCTATTGGTCGTATATATATATAAAAAATAATACGAAAATTAAATAATTTTTGCTCTAAATTTAATAAAAAGTTTCTAATGTTTCTATTGTAAATCAGAAAACCGTGGATTGATAAGTGTGTTAATTCACAGACTACAACCACTATTATATATGCACAAGCCCAACACTCCGTGTCTCCGTGGTAACACGATTTACAACCACCGCCCACAAACATAATATATAAACAATATTGTTTATAAAAACAATTATATTTTTTGCATATTATGTCCATGCTACCACCATCACGGTCTATATTATCTCTACATGGAACAACAATAAAATCAGGTTAGGTTATGCAGTGTTTCCCAAAGGGTGTGCCGTGAAATTTGAAAAGTTTGAAACGATAACTTGAACTTTTTTTATAAAAAAACATAAAATGATTTTTTCAATTTATTAAAATATATAATGCAAGTAAAAATAATTAATACAACTTTAAAATTACAAAAAAAAGATATAATTATAAATTTTAGTGTGAAACGTGTGCTTAATGTTGTTTGCATAATAGTTAAATTCTAGGAGAGATCGACAATAAACAAACCCGCATTTCTTGTTCAACTAATATATATATATACAAGTACAGCTATCGAGAGATATTACTATTATTACCTTATAAAGTAATAACGACAATTTATAATACCTGACATATCATTATATACGTATTATTCGATAAATAGATAAATAAGATAATATTTATCAAAAGTGTGCCGTGAGTTATAATAATTAATAATAATGCGACGCGATGGGAAACAGTTTGGGTACCGCTGGGATAGTCGGTTAGTGTATGCTGATGTATCGTTGAAAAGATAATAAATATTGAATTCTACAGACACTTATAATATTATAACCTATAATTGGAGAAAAATTAAATGGCTAAGCTCTAGCTGATATCAACAAGGACGATTTAGACTTTAAAAATATTGAAAAATACATTTTACCAGGTTTTATATAGAGATCTCCAAGAAAGATACTAACATTGGACTGGATGAAATATAAATATTAAATTTTAAAAATTACAAAATTAAACAAACAGTTGTTATTTGAATATTGTTAAATTAATTTTTTGTCCCCCCCCCCTTTAAAAATCTTTGCTACTCCACTGTACACATGTAGTACAGACAGTACAGTGTACCTTTTATATAAAGTACCTACCTTTATACAGCTTTAGACGTTTCAGCAGGGGCGTCATTTCAGATTTTTTTCKGGTGTGCGAAGTTTCAAGCAGGCCATTTTGAAATTTCACCAGGCCATTTAAAAATAGATATACATATGCATATGTATATTACCCTGCATTCAATTGTTTCCATACATTATAGACCGGTTATTACAATTTGATTCTAA